GACTGCGGTCTCCAAGAAGACTGTGAAGATGTTAAAGCAGCTTGAAGGATTCCAGGTATAAAGTGAAAGTCTCCTATTGAGCCAATGATAGATTTTAAGGTACTACCAGTGGTACGACCTTCTACTTCTAAATAATTTTCTAATCAAGCTGGTTCTTCAAAGACTGGAAAGATGAAATCATCTAAGAAGAAGACCAAACTGAAGAAGCCCAAGGAGAAAAAGACTACAACTCAGAGAGTTATCGATAGTTTGGATGAATATTATCAAACTGTGAGGCAACCTATCAGGCTCTCTGACTTCATGTTAGAGCTTAAGATAGATAAAGCTAAAGAAGATGATGAGAATTCTCTTCCAACAGAAGTATGTCGGGTCTTCTCGGTAACACCAAGTACCTCGATAAAAGAAGAATACATAGAAGAAGTATCCTCTGAATCTTGTATGATGGTTTTGCCAATGGATTATAGTTCAAAGGACTTATATTTTCCAGAGGAAGATGAATCAGATCCTAGTATAGCATCTCAAATGGGACATGTAAACCTGGGTGGTGACTCTGAATCAACAGATGAGTCCCTAGATGCAACGATGGCTGACTCTGAAGAAAATGTGCAGTTAAATGACTCTAAACCGGAGAAGATTGCTCAAGTGCAGTTAAGAAGCAGCAATACACTACCGCCTCCACCGAAGAAAGGGGTCCCCAATGAAGACAAAGAAAAAAAAAATAATCATCAATGATGATATTATCCCTGAAGATCCTAAGAAAAATAAGACTCCAGCCAATGGGATAGATTATAATATCTTATCCAATCTGAGAAAAATCCCAACATAACTCAGCATATACGATGCTTGGTAATGTCTAAAGACCTTCAGGAGACTATGATTCATACTCTCAAAGATCCTGAAAGATACGAGGCGTATTTTGCTGAACGCAATCTGACTGAGGTTCTACAAGCTCGTAATGAGCCGTTCATTACCTTCTCCGAAGAAGACATGATGATTGGGACTATAGACCATAATCGTCCTCTGTATGTTACTGCAGAGAGTGATAAGCTGATCATCAGTCAAATCCTGATCGATCATGGATCCTCTATAAATTTGATAAGCTTGAAAGCACTGAGATCTCTCTGCCTTGATGTGGAACACCTCGGGCCAGATAAGCTGATGGTGCATAGTTTCAACGAAAAGGGGCAGAAAACTCTCGGATCATTTATGCTGCCTCTTGTATTTGGAGAGCTCCATACAGAAGCTAAATTTTATGTAATTGATGTGGATACTTCATTCAAGGTGCTACTAGGTCGTCCATGGTTGCATGAATATGATATTATCCCGTCAACATTACACCAGTGTATGAAATATCTCAAAGATGGAGAAGAATTCAGGATCTCTGGTGACATGTATCCCTTCACAGTTCATGAAGCAACGGTTTATAAAGATGCACGGTACTTCATGCCAAAGAAGCAAAAGTCTTCGAGCTCTCTCGAAGCTAGAGCATCAAACTCAAAAACTGCAAAGCGACCTGAACGGGAAGGTGAGAAGAAGCAGGCGGGAAGAAAGAAGGCGATGCCGACTCTTTCCAAAGCACCGACCATTCCCAAAGAAAATAAATATGTACAACATCTTGGGAGTGACACGGATGAAGATGATATTATTCATGCTAAATCTAGAAGAGTATACCAGTCCACGGATGAATGGAGTAGGTAGGTTAAATTTTCAAATGATGATTATGACTACGACTCTATTTATATGAACACGGTGTATAATGTGTTCTCTAGAAGAATAGATAGCTTATCAATTTCAAATAGTGTATTCGTAGTCACACGTGTTCCCTTATAACACTTTAAGGAAATTATTCAACGCGAGGTACATAATTTGAAGAACTCACCACCCTCTATTTGTCTCCTCTTAAAAATGAGACTATGTCAAAGAATGTGTTATATTCCATGGGAGTTTGTGAAGATGAGAATAATGACTGGTGTTGTATGCTTCTCGATTCCGAAGAGTTATTTCCTACAAGGCTACCTAGGCTTAATACCAAAAATATTCAGAGAATGCTACGAAAGTAAATCAATATTCCTACCACCAAACGACAGCTTCGTACAAGCTTGGGCCTCTAGTATGGAAGGAATCCATGTCCATTACGATAGAAGGATACAGATGCATATAAAGGTATCAGATTCATCAAAAGAAAATTCCTCCGGAAAGAGACTTGCCGGGCAATCACGTGCATGGAAATTGAATCCGATGATGGTGGCGCTGAAGAGACATACGAAGCTGATGATTATGATGATTAACCTGTAGAGGCCGAACCTGTACCAGAAGAGCTTGAAGATGGTGGACAGGCAATCACTATGGATGAGCTAAAAGAAGTCAACTTGGGAACTGATGAAGACCCTCACCCAACCTTCATTAGTTCTCTTCTACCCAAAGAATAAAAAGAAAAAATAAAAGAACTTCTTTGTGAATTAAAGGACTGCTTTGCCTGGACATATGCTGATATGCCTAACTTATCCCCTGATGTAATAGTTTACAGATTATCAATCAAACCGGATGTAGCACCCGTCAAGCAAGCTCCAAGGAGAATGAGATTGGAGATTAAAGAACAAGTGATTGCTAAAATAAAGAAACTAATAGAGGCATGCTTCATCCGAGAAGAAAAGTATGCCGATTGGATTGCCAGTATTATCACTGTAAAGAAGAAGAATGGACAGATTCTTGTCTGTATTGACTTTAGGGACCTCAATAAAGCATGCCCAAAAGATAACTTTCCACTCCCTATATCAAAACTACTAGTGGACAACACTTTCAACTACGACATGTTCTCATTCATGGATGGATCATCAGGCTACAATCAGATCAAGATGCCTCCTGAAGATGAAAAACATATGTCGTTCGGCATATTCTGCTATATGGTCATGCCCTTTGGCCTGAAGAATGCTGATGCCACCTACCAGTGGGCGATGACTCATATATTTGATGATTTGATACATCAGAAGGTCGAGTTCTATGTAGATGACCTTATTTTCAAAAGTCTTGGCCGAAATGATCACTTAAAAAGTCTCAGAATTGTATTTGAGAGAATAACAAAGTTTGATCTGAAGATGAACCCTCTCAAATATGCTTTTAGGGTCTCCTCCGACAAATTCTTAGGGTATATTGTTCGTCATCGAGGTATAGAGATCGACCTCAATAAAATTAAGGCAATCATAGAGATGCCACCCCCAAGGAACCTTCAACAATTTTTCGCTTGCTACAAGGACAACTGACTTTCATTCGGAGATTTTTATCAAATCTATCGAGTAGGTGCCAGCCATTTTCAAAGCTAATAAAGAAAGATGTTCGTTTCAAATGGGATGCAGAATGCTAGGAAGCATTTGATAGTATCAAAAAATACTTGTTAAATCCTCCCATTCTAGCAGTGCTAATTTCGGTGAAGCCTCTTATACTGTATACAACAGCACTAGAAAGGTTCCTCGGAGCACTATTGGCCCAAAATAATAAAGAAGGAAAGGAAAATGCGCTCTACTACATCAGTCGAAGATTGATTGGAGCAGAAAGTTGTTATTCTCCTATTGACAAGCATTATTTGGTGCTGATTTTTGCAGTTCAAAAACTTCGCCACTATATGTTATCCCACAAAATCACACAGATATCAAAGATTGATCCGCTAAAGTTCTTGATGATAAGACCAGCGTTGACAGGTCGTCTGGCCAGGTGGGTAGTATTATTATTACAGTTTGATATCACATACATGCCACAAAAGACAGTGAAATGACAAGCCTTGGCCAATTTTCTCGCTGCGCTTCCAATCCCAGCTGACTCTCCACTCAACGATGATTTGCTCGATGAGCAAATAATGCATGTTGAGGAGAATGAAAAACTACCGTTCTGGGAAATGTACTTCGACGGGGCATCATCGATTAAACCTGTTTGACCTCCAAATCTTGCAAGGGCATCGGTCTCATTTTTATAGCACCTTAGGGAGGCATAATGATATTTTCATTCAGTTTGACTGAACCTCGTACCAACAATGAAGCTGAGTATGAAGCTCTTTTAGCGGGGTTGGAAATTAAGATTGTTGTATAAATTCACATCTCCAAATCATTGGTGATTCTCAGCTTATAAAAAATCTAGTACTTGGTATTTTTAAAGTTGGAAAAGGTGAATTGGCTCATTACCTCCGACAAACTCTTGAACTTCTGAAGCAAGTTCCAAATGTACAAATAGCACGAGTTCCTCAAGGACAGAATGCTAAAGCTGATTGTTTGGCTAAATTAGCTAAAGAAATGGTGAATATTAATGAGGAGAGGCCTATATTCATTGGAGTTTATACTCGTAGGGTCTTGGAGCCCGCTCTATTATAATTACCAAAGGCAGAAGAAATACCAGTTCCAAGCCATCAAGATAAAGTGCAAGTTGAACCTCAACCCCTCCATCAGATCGTTATGGAGAATTATCCAGAAGAGTATCATGTGTCCAAGAGACGTAAAGCTAGTCAAGCTTCAGAATCGTGGTGGTATTATTTAGACATTGAACTTGAAAATGATTGGAGGCATCCATTCATAGACTACTTCAAGGAAAATAAACTCCCGACAGAAAATTCCATTACCACACAAATTCAAAAAAGGGCGTTGCGATACGTATTTGTCAATGATACGTTGTATAGATGAGCCTTTGATCAAATGTGGCTAAGGTGCCTAGGGACTAAGAAAGCTGATAAAGTGGTAGTAGAAGTCCACGAAGGGCTTTGGGTAGCACATCAGTCAGGTCCTAAGATAGCCGCTAAAATTAAGAGAATGTGTTATTATTGGCCGACAATGGTCAGAGATTGTATTGACCACGCAAAAATGTGCCATGAATGTCAAATTCACGGTGATGTTATAAATCAACCGCCAAATCCTCTGCATCCAACAGTAGCATCCTGACCATTTAAATGCTGGGGCACAAACATAATTGGGCTGATAGATCCACCGTCTTCAGTGGGACACCGCTTTATTCTGGCAGCAATGGACTACTTTTCAAAGTGGGCAGAAGCAGCTCCATTCAGAGAGGTCACATCCAAGCATGTGATTAACTTTTTCACCCGCAACACTATTTACAGATTTGGTGTGCCATGCCGTATAATCTCATACAACGGTACTGCATTTAAAAGTACAAAAATCTACAAGTTCATTGATCGGCATAAAATCGATTGGCAGTGTTCATCCATATACAGTCCAAGGGCAAATGGCTTGGCTGAGGCATTTAACAAGACACTAGTGAAACTGTTGAAGAAGATCCTTACCAAGAACAAACGAGAGTGGCATACGAAGATGACAGAAGCGTTGTGGGCGTATTGTACGACCTACAAAACACCAACCAAAGCTACCCCTTATTCATTGGTGTTTGGAGTTGAAGCCCTATTACCATTGGATATTGAACTACCGTCACTCAGGGTAGCAATTCAAAATGATCTCACTCAAGAGCAAAATGCCCGCCTCAGAATGGAAGAGCTCGATGCACTCGATGAATTCATGTTACAAGCCTAACAAAACCTAGAAATCTATCGAGGAAGAATGGCAAAATCCTTTGATCGGATGGTGCGCCCTCGAACATTTCAAGAAGGGGAATTGGTCCTGGTGCTGAGAAGGCCAATCATTCCATATCAAAAAATCGGTGGCAAGTTTGTATCCAACTGTGAAGGCCCCTTCGTCATCGAGAAAGTATACCAAGGAGGAGCATATAAGTTGATCGATCTGAACGGTCAGAAGCCTATGTTGTCTATCAATGGCCGGCATTTAAAGAAGTATCATGCATGAAAATTTCATGACTGATGTACTTTACAATTATCAAAGTTTTATGTACATAGTTATCAGTGCATGCATATTCATATATTGAAATTCTCTTGTATAGCAATAATGCATTTCAAAATCTCCCATCAGACTAGGGGCATTTTAAATATTTATTCGGGTCGACATCGCGCTGCTTGCCGAGATCCCCAAATAAATATTTAAAATCTCAAAGATACAAAGCCTACCCAAAATGTCCCTACGAGATAGGGGGCATTTTAAATATTCATTTGGGTCGACACCGCGCTGCATGCCAAGATCCCCAAATGAATATTTAAAATCTCAAAAATCCCAAATTTATTCCACTCTAAAAATGTCCCTGCGAGTTAGGGGACATTTTAAATATTTATTCGGGTCGATATCGCACTATGTTCTGATATCCCCAAATAAATATTTAAAAATTATCAATTTAAACTTTCTTTGTGCTAAAGAATACAAAGACTTATTTTTCAAAGTATTGCAGGAAATTTCTCAAAAGTGATCATTGTGTCACTGGCTAAATGTCCTAAGGAGGCTTAGTTCCTCAAGCCTGGTAGCACAATGCCTCTTGTTCTTTTTTGCTTCTTCTTTAAGTTTTTTTTGGCAGAAAGGTTTTATGGTTCTTTTGGCATGAGAATGTCCACGTCTCACTTCTTAATTATTTATTTTGAGACAAAACTTAGTTAGAAAAATTTTCAGATCTCTTTCTTTCTTAAAGGATCAAAAACTTTTAGGTTGCTTTTCTTTTACTAAAGATTGGGGAATTTTTAGGCTGATCTTTTTGAAATGAAATGTGATTTGCTCACCCCTCCATTTACTTAAATGAAGTATATCAAGATTATCACTGTTCAGAATTAGCATCCATGGAAAATATGTCATGTAGGGATTGCTTTTACTTGTTACAGTTTATCATATATATGTGTTGAGTTGGCATATTTGTGCAAACAAAACTTCAATGATAGATTCATCTTTTAAATTGGGATCGACTTGATTTCTCTTTTATTGGATGAATATATATGACTTAAGTTATATGCAATTTCTTTGGTCGAATATTGAAATCATAAGATGGAGATGATGTTTGTGCTTTAGAGAATCATTTTTGTGGATGTCAACATAAACCTCACATTTATGTATACTTCTTCTTGCATTTTTGTACTCGCAAATTTATTTCTCATTATACATATGTATGTATGCATGTAAGTGTAGTTTCATTGGATTATACATATGTATTAGACAAAATATGAGGTGGGTTGTAGTAATATTTGAACTTCAGCATATGTGTATACCTTTTACCTTTAAGTGATGTATACTCTAGCTTTCATGAAGGAATTTTGGATGGGTAGTTAGTGTTGGTAAAGCATGGCATTTGAAAGACAAATTTCATGAGATTTGCATGAGCCCCTCTTCTCATATGCAATCATAATCCATGGTGATGAAAACCTATACAATGTAATTTGCACTATTTATGTAATGTTTTGGGAAAAGAAAATGGTGGAGTTTTGCTTTGCTTTCATGACAAGTAACAAGTTGTTAAGAGAAGGAAAAGTGTGCATGTGGTTTAAGGAAGTGCATCAAGTGTATTTTAGAAAGTGAAATGTAGATGAAAAGTGAGCTTATGTGTTTTGGAAGGTGGACATGTGACTTTGCTCTATTGTGCTCAAATGAAGTGTGTGATTTTTGAAAGTGTATGTTTAAGTAAAAAGTATAATGTTTGGTTTTGGAAGGAAAAGTGATTTGTGTGTGTGGAAAAGTTGAAATTGTGTTTTAAAATTCTTAAGCAAAACTCACGATCTAAGCCAAATAATCATTCACCATAAAATAAATCACAGAGGCATTGTGCTACCAAAGAAGGCATTATATAAACCAGAAATAGATGGCCATTTTAATTACAAATGTTATGATAATTCATTTAAGCACTTACAAATCAGATCGTAAAATATTAATTAGTATTTCCGTTATAATAATAGTTATTTCCATTACAATAGAAATAAGTATTTCCATTGCAACAATAATTATTTTCATTACAACAACAATAATTATATTTGATACAACAATAATAATTATTTTAGTTACAATAATGATAATTATTTTTGTTACAAATTTTCTTTTGAAAAATATAAAATATAACAATTCCTAACATTTCAATAGAAAAGTAAAATGTAGAGTAAGAGAAAAAGATATAGTGCATAACATTGGTGTCTTTTGGACTATGAACCAATGTTTTAGGATAAGAAAATACTTCCATATAAGAACTAAGGGAAAATTATTATTTCTATGGACTTGATTCTTGAGCATAAGCAAGATTATCCATTCACATTACATCAGATAAGTGATTGTTATTCATCGCAATTTGATACTTTACATCCGTGCGTCTGAATCCGAGTTTCATGAGTGCTCTTGAGAATTGCTTATATTTTCATAAAAGGGGGCCAACCTTTATGCTCATATAGGTGAATTCATTAGTTGTGTCTCACAGTAAGCACAATATGAATTCAATAGGAGTAAATTTCAACCTCTATATCACTGTATATCATATTATTCAATAATATAGGAATTGACCATAATATTTATTTTGAATAATCTACCAAGTTGACTAATGACTTGTACTTCCATATGAACCTATTTTATGAAATCTCCATAAAAATACGTTGGATTACCATCAAAATCAACTTTTATTTATCGTCCAAACTCCCCTTCCCCTCAACATGTCCACCACTTGCTCCCTTCCAAGTGGTTTTGTCAAAGTATATGCTAAGTTCATCTCTGACCTCACAAAACTTAGGGTATTATCCCATCATTAAATAATTATTTACAATATTATCTCGTAGGAGAATATGTCTTCTCTTCCCATTATATATTTTATTTTTAGCTTTAGCTATTGCAGCTTGGCAATCTCAAAATAAAGACACTGATGAGATAGGTCCCCCAAAAATTGAAATATTAGCTAAGAGATTTCTAAACCATTTTGTTTATTCTCATGCTATTTTTAAAGCAATGAATTCTGATTCCATAATGGATTATGTTATACACGTTTGTTTAGAAGACTTCCAAGATATAGCTCCACCACCCAAAGTGAAAATACATTCACTACTAGTATGTTAGCATCACTATATACTTCAAGAATAGAAGGATAACCATAATAAAGGAGCCCTAAATTAGAAATTCCTTTAAAATATTTAAGTATTCTCACTAAAGAAGCACAATGATTTTTATTAGGATAATGGTTATATCAACTAAGCCTATTTACACCATAAGCATTATCAGGCCAAGTATAGTTCATATGATACATAAGACTACATTTAATCTAAGCATACTCAGATTAAGATACACTTTTGCCTTTTTTTTTTTTGAATATATACTAGCTTTATATGGTTTATTAACTGTGATAGAATCAAAATTTTTAAATCTCCTCAACATATTTTCTACAAAAATTCTAGAGAAATTATAAATTCATCAACACATTTTCTTTTGTTTATTCCTAATATCACTTTTTCTTCTCCTAAATCCTTCATATCAAATTTAGAAGATAAAAAGATTTAGTTTTTATAATTTTAGTAAGATCATATCCTAAAATAAGTATATTATCTACATAAATATAATTAGTTACTCCTAATTTTGGGCTATCTAATTTATAATAAATACAATTATTAACTTCATTAATCTTAAAGTCATTACATATTAATGTAGTATTAAGCTTTTCATGCAATAATTTAGGAGTTTATTTAGTCCATATAACGAATTAACTATCTTACAAACTTTCTTTTCATTTCCAAGTACTATGGAAGTTTTTTGTTGATCCATATATATTTTCTATTCCAAATTTTCAATTAAGAAAGCTGTTTTCACATCCATTTCATGAATTTGTAATTTGAATATAGAAGTTGAAGAAATAAGAGCACTAATAGAAGATACCCTATCGAGAGAGTAAGTATAAAAATAATCCAAATATTTCTTTTGAGTATATTCCTTAGCCACTAACCTAGCTTTATATTTTTTAATTGATCCATCCCGCTTGAGTTTTTTTTTTTTCCTAAAGATCCATTTACATCCAATAGTTTTAGTTCTTGAAGGTAAACCCACTATTTGCCAAGTATGAGTTGACATAACAGAATCTATTTCAACTTGAATGACCTCCTTCCAAAAATTAGCATATAATAAAGACATTGCTTCAGAATAACAAGGAATTATTATCTAGTATGAATGTGTAAAAGTCATCTCCAAAGTTTTTTTCCTTTCTCGTTCTTTTATTTTTATATTCTAAAATAAGTGTCACTATTATTTAGATTAGCTAAAATAGGTTTGTCTATAGATAATTTCAAAGAAAATGTATCCTAAAAAACTTAGTATTTTTAGATTCTATAATAATATTAGATTATATAACATCACTCTTAAGAACAATATATATATATATATATATATATATATATATATATAACGTACTATTTTC